CCCTAACCATTCTATGATTCTATGATTCATCTGGAAGCAAATCTAATGCCAAACAGCGAAAGTGGATGGCTAACAGGCACATGAAAAGGAATAAATACACTTCAAAATGACCTGGAAAATAAGTGTAGTGGGACAGTGTGAGGATATCTGGGAGTAAATTAGGTCAAGTTCAACACTTATCAAAAAAAGAAATAAAACACGCAAAGTTAAAATAAAGGGAGAGGGAAGCCAAACAGCTGCAAGCACAGCATTAGAGCATTTGGTTTTTAAACTGATCTCCACAACTCTATGCTGCTATTATTCTATGTAAGCAACCCAAGCTCTGCAGTTTCTGTCAGAAACAAGCAGGATCCAAATGAGGGGAAATCAGCCTTGGGCAGGATCCTTCTTAATAACAAAGAGTTTGTGAATCACTGATATATACTATTTCCACTCTAAAGCAGTTCACAGAACATCTCATTTGGAATTGTTCCGCTTTCATGGCCCCAAACTTCGATTCATTGTCTTGGCATTTGAACTCTTGGTGCGTATGATATAAACCAGAAATCCCTGGTAAATGAGACTTAAATAGATAGAGACAGTTAAAAGACTTTGTATTTCCATGAGCCATTATATCAAAATGCAAACACATGTACACATAGCAGCCTTGACCAATTTTACTATGTCAGCAGAACTTAACCACAGCTACAGTAGGTGTTTTGCAGCAACCACATCTCAACTGATTCACAAGGGTGAGAGCAATTTGGTAATGAGATCATCCATCGTCTCAGATGCATTAAAATGAAAGTGAAGGAAATCTGGATCAGACTGGAGATAAATTACAAGCCAAAATCAATGTATTTCCCAAGTTCACTAAATGGTCGGGAATATGACACATCTACAGGAAACCAAATACATAGGGCACAGATATATTTAAACTTGCCTCTTTCTAAGGGAAATTGTAGTTGTGGTATCTTATAGGTTAATAAGCAAAGGAGTCCTTAGAATTCAGCTGAACAAATAAAATGATTCTTCACTACTGGTTTGCTGAAAGGTCACATAGTAATGAAGGCTCTGATGGTCCCAAGCTCTGTTAAGGAAATACTAATTCAAGGCAGCTGCTCTCACAATAAGAGATCAGTCCTAAAACCACTTCCTTTGGTTAGATTTTGGATTATAAAACAGTTAAGGACCAGCAGATACTTGATAATGAGACAAGTAACATCAGGTACCTGCACAGAGTGCTGCACTGCCACTGTATGGCTCCAAGAGAAGCCACAGGGCTGATCAACTGGCTCTTCATCTGGGTCATGTGGGTTAATGAGACTTGGGCAGCTAGTGATAACCTGCGTTTTTAGCATTTCTGCTTCACATATTACTCTTCTCTATTTTCTATCACAGAATCATAGAATGGTTTGGGTTGGAAGGGACCTCAAAGATCATCTAGTCCCAACCCCCCTGCCATGGGCAGGGACACCCTCCTCTAAGACCAGGTTGCCCGTAATCATATCATAAGTTTAATCATAAGTTAAAATGGCTCTACTTCATCATAAATCTACCGTACAAAACTCCAAGCTTAGCTAAGTTGTGTGTAAAAACCTTTGGGAACCTACGGAAAAAAGGATACACTTCAAAATCACATTAAGGTGGTAATTATGAATATCACAGAGTCCCCCCCCCCCGAAGAAAGTCAAAGCACTCTTCAGCGCTTTGGAGCTTCATGAGGAGTTGACCTTTAATTATCACAAATGCAAAATGACTACATTTTCAAAATAAAAATTTAGGAGAGTTTGTGCTACTTTCATTTAGGGTTCCACATCAAAGTGGACTTTGAAAGAAAATGTAGGCACTGGTGTTGGTGCTGCCAGCTTCTACCTCGAGAGTTGTCTGAGAATGAAGGATTTTTTTACCAGCAATAATAAAATAGTTCAGGTATAGCGTCACTCAAATATTCACATTTGAAGAAAGAATAATTATGAACATGGATCATGTGTACTGAGCACTCAGTATATATATTTTTTTTTCAGTAAACAAAGACACAAATCTTTTTCATGAACATCTTGTAGTATTTGGGAAAAAAACTCACAAAAACCCCCATTTGTACTGGAATAATCAGGTTTCCATTTTGCCAGGTGTCTGCAAAAACATTCCTGGTTTTCCTAATGAAACCAAGACTATTCCACTGAAATCCAGACATACACTGAAGTGTGAAGCCCCCCATGGATTAGGAAGCAGGAAGTGTAGTGTTATCCTGTGTAGCACAGAAAAACACAGAAACGTGAGGCATCCAAATTAAATATCAGGGGAAACCCTAGGAAGGCAGAACACAACTGCCTACGCTAGGATGAAATCTGGAAGAAAGGCAATGTAACAATACTAAGATGGCTAAACAAGCCCTCGGATCTGGAGACCACAGACAGAATTTTTTATCTCACCCAGAAGATGTTAAAGATTCCTGCAGGTCAACAGATGTACAGCGATAAATGAAAAGGTGAAACTATTGTAATGTCATATTTACACCTCGCAGCTCAGTTATCCTTTGCTTTGGGCCAATTCTCCACAACAGCTTAAGTCTGGATCCCAAATCAAATCATTATATTCCCAGAACGCATGGAGTTTGAGGCGGCTTCTCTAGTTGAGAAGTTATGGGGTCATTTCTGTGCAGACTTTCCATAACTATTCCTGAAGCCAAATATATGCACACTAGAGGGAACAGAGCCCTTCGTTATTTGTAAAGGGTCACGCTGCAATCTGTTAGCAAATCAAGTACTGTTAAGGAAAGGGGGATTAAGATTGTCCACCTCAAGGTATGTGACTTGGCAGAAGGTGGTTTAGCAGTTCGCATGTATGTAATGGCTGAAAAAGCACTTAAGACCCTGTGTGTGATTAAAAACTCTCACCTGCTTGACTTCTGCCTGTAGGTGCCGGAGCTGTAGGCACTGCTCTAACCTCTTGTGAGTTTGGTCAGCGTTAAGCTCCAGCTCATGCTGTTTCTCATGAAGGAATTCCAGCAGTTCTTGAACCTGTGTTGCAAGATCAATGTCTTTTTCACAGATCAGCTCAATGCCTGCAACATGCAGAGAGAGAGATCATTGCACTTATTTGATATTCCAGTTGTTACACAAATGCAAGCTTCAAAATTTTTTGCCCCCCAACACATTGATTTGCAACTCTCTGAGTAATTCTTTCTGACTAAACTCTCTCACATGTAATATTTGCCTTTCCCAGTTTCCTATTCTGCATCACTCCATTTTTCTACAAAGTACTGTTTCTCTGGTGATCATTGCTCATCTCACCCATCAGCATCAGGCTAGTAGGACAAGATTTAACCACAATCTTGCTCAAAAGCTTCCATGAGCATTGAATTAAAAAAAAAAAAAAAGAAGAAAACCTCTCCCTTTCTTACAGTAACTCAGAATTATTTCACAGGCTGACTTTCATCCAATCCTCACATACATACCAGAGAGAAAAAGTGGCTTAATACCACATTCCCCACCCCTTGCATCCTGCATGAAATTGATAAACCCCTGAATGACCTGGTCTGATTTGACAGCTGACCCTGACTTGATCAGGAGGTTGAAATAGAGACCTCCTGAGTCCCTTCCTATCTCCTGAATTTTCCTATGAGCCTTGTATGTGGTGGTTACATGAAATACAATGCAAAGCTTCATGTCTTCCTTCTTTCTTACACTGGTGTGATAGCATTGCTGGGTACATTACCAGTATAATTGTGAAAGTTTGGCCTGGAGGAAATACAGTGTCATCCCATGTTACTGTAATCCCTGTGATTATAAACTAATAAAGACCTGACTCTTCCCTTATTGAGGTCTACTGGAATTTTGCCATTGGCCTCAATACAGGGAGGATCAGGAATCTAATATAAAAATAATCAGATTGCAGTAATGCTGCACTTTTCTCCAAAGCCATTTGACTTCATGGAATAATAGGATATTAAAAAAAGAAATGTATTAATTAGAAGCTGCTGTACAAAAGGCTTGGACACTATTTTTAAAACCCATTTACAACGATGCCTTTTCTTCCCCCTTTATCCTCCTCAGAGACTTGTGACTTTCATTTTCTCTCACAGCGATATCTACAGAGGACAGTACACAAAATAAATATGACCTTATGATTGACCCTATCCCCTTTTTCCTGGTTTCTGGTTTTATCAGAAAAAGCACATGGGAATGCAAGTGATTGGCTTATTCCCTTTCCCAGCCAAAACAAAACAGTTTCTTCATTACCAAACAAAGTGGAACGGCCCCTGGCTTCCTATTTAGAAATTTAATATATGTTTCTATTCTTGGGAGTGAAGTTCCTTTCAATTGCCAGACACCAGGCATTGTTGCTACAATTAGCCTGCATATGGTTCTGTATCCTCAGGACATGATGGCTTTTTATATGCTTGACTTCACCACACCTATTTGATATTAAATGCATAGTTTTCCTTCATGCACACTCAGCTGGTATGGTTTTGATTGTGCTAACTCATCAGCAGCAACCAGTGAACTGCCTGGGATGCTATCCAAGGGCAGCCTGTGCTCCCTATGATGAATGATCTGCCCTTTCTTGCTTGTCATATGTCACGCAGATTTATTCTACAGTGCCAGCGCACACGGTGAGAGCACCTACTCTTCTCAAAGATTGGTTTGCAAAATAGAAAGCCTTGTTTTCAGAATAATTTCATACATATTATCTTTACATCGTGTCTTGATAGATAGAAAAGCACAGCTGATTTTCTGATAAACTGAACTTGATTGCCATTTTCGTCTAACGTCTTGAACAATGCAGCCGACAATAAGTGAAGCATGAAGAATTGAAAATGTTTCAAAAAATATTACAGAAGAGTACTGAGCCATACTAACTGGCATCCTACAAAAGATACATTGCAAATAGCTCAGATATAACTAATGTGAAATACTATTCAGTTTAAGGAAGGGGTATTGCTTTTTGACCTGTACAAAGCTGTTTTGAAACTGCTTTGAACCTGTTCTTAAACCTGTTCTTTGAACCTGTTCACCTATTAAAAGCCTGTGACGGGAAAGTTTAGTATCCTCTTCCTTGCAATATAAACTATAGTTATAACTAACTATAAATGACATCACAAATAAAATGAAATAGATTTGCATTTCCCTTTTAAGCAATGCAATGCTGGGAAAAGTCATGAATGATGTTAGATTGACAACCAGGAAACAAAAGGGCTTTGAATTTCCCTTATAACATAGGGACTGGTCAAATTTCCCCAACATCAGCTTTGCAGTGTATTTCTGCCTTGACTTGGACAACTTGCTTCTAAGACATAAAAAGGTAGCTGTGTAAACCACGAGCGACTTCTAACTGTGGTGCTCATTATGACAATGATACTGACAATGCAAATGGACCTTAATAACCAAATGAATTTGTGCAATCAATTAATCAGCTATTAGAGCGTAACTACTTTCAGTACCAAGAAGCAGAATGACTAAGGTGCATATGCTAATGAATTACATGAACATGTCATCACTGCAGCTCGGGCCGAGATGTTAAATCACTGTTGAATTACGATCCTAAGCTTTCCATATGAAATGGACTTCTCAGAAATGTCCGAGCTGCCACTTTTCGAAACACCAGGCCCTTTCAACATATCAAGTTAGACACCCAAAAATCAATATCCATTTTTGAGAATATTTGCCCATATATTTCGTTTTGCTATCAGTAGTAGAGCTACAATCAAACTGGAAAAATAGAAGATAGGTTAATTGAAATAAAAAGTACTGGCTCATTAAAAAGTCCAGTCTTCTTGCGAATACTGTTATTCTCTAAATGCAAATATATTTCCTGAAGGACACAGATTTTAGTGAGATGTGAAGACAATTTGAAAGTACAGCAAAATTTCAGAAAACAACTTGACTTCCAGGTCTTACATATACCCTAATAAAAAAAACCCCAAACCAAACCAACCCTAAACCCACCAAAAACCAAAAATCATTTATTTGAAGAATAATTATTCTGATGGTGAAGGCAGGCTAATCCAAACCAGGCTCACCCACACGTGCTGGAGTAGTGGAAAGAATCACAGGAACATGACTCTGAGTTTTATGGAGCTTTGGAAATACCGGACTTGCATAGATGCCTTGCATGCATGGATGCCCTGAATATCTGTACAGAGTCTGATATGATGCATCACAGGACTACTGTATTTATTGTACCAACACAACAATGTTCACAGGGATTTCCAGACACTCCACAGCCTGGTAAGAATCACTGCTCCAAATCTGCATCGGGCATGCAAAAATCATGGGTGAATGTCTAAAACCTTCTCTTTCCACCTGCAGAAGATTTCCAAGTGAAAAAGACATCATGCGTGGAAAAACCTGGATGTAATTTTATCTGACAGACTTACTAGCTTAAAGACCTCCAAGCCAAATGCCAGAGTAATCAAAATTGAATCAGTTTCCTGTGTGACATGATAAAAAGAATAAAGCTCAAAGAGAATTATAGGGAAGGAAAGAAACTTGGTCAATTAAGAGTGGCTGGTTAGGTAGAATGTCACATTTTTTCTGGCTTTATCGTCTATGGCTACAGCTGAGTTTTGATTGCAGCAGTGGTGACATTGCACAATAGGAAGCAGCAATAGCGGCTGATTTCCCAGAACCCCTGCAAGTTCACAGCTCCCGCAGTTAGAACAATCATCCTCTAACTTATGCACTGAATGACTATGACATAGGATTCAGGAAGAGGGAGTAAAATTAAATGAATTTTTTATGGAGTATAACTGTCCTTTATTGAAATAAGAAACAGGAGGCTCCCAAGAGCAATCTCTCTCCCTTATTTTGCCATTCTCCCAGCATTTAGCATTCTGTGCACGGCAGACATGACCATTACATTTGATTAACTACAGTTACTCTACATCCCTATGAGGCTTCTGCTTCCTTGCCTTTGGGAGCAATGGATTTTTTATTGGGTAGGCTTCATAGAAAGTGATCTTAGATAATCTTATAAAAACATTTTAAAACTCACTTCGTTTAGTTGCTGATCTTTTGTCTGCAATCCAAAAGAAGTTGTTTCTGACTTCTTGACAAACACTGATTTTTTTTTTTTTTTTCCTAAAATACGTCACTGAGACTCCTGACTGTTCTCTCTTCTGGATCATATTCCTTACCTCCCATGGATTCCTACTCATATTAAGATTTTTCCAAGATGAGGGCAAGGAAAAAAACCCACAAACATCTTAACTGATGTATTAGGACAAGTTGTCTATCCCAGAAAGCAAGGGAGCTGAAGCACAGGACCAGGCGTAGCGTGGGCAGATCTCATAGAAGCTCACGCACATGGTTCACACAATGCACCGGATTGTCTAGTTCACAACATACTCTTGTAGCAGTCCTTAAGCCTCTGCTGAGCACAGCTTGCCAAATCAGGCTGAATACTGCCAGATTTTCTTAAAAGGTGGGTGCCTAGAGGTAAAATGTTTGCCAAAGAACAAAACCATAAAAATCCTTTTTATTTTGAAAGTGCAAATTGGGAGGGAAAGAACAGGAATTGTTCTTACTCTGCATTCTTTCCAGACGTTATTGAAGGTTAAAATACTTCATAAGTAACATTCACTTCTGCGCTTTACTCAGTGATTAATCTGAATTATGATATTCCTTTTCCAAATGCAAAATGCAAGGATACAAAAATCCTGATTCATAGAATATCTTAGAAATAGGATCCTACTGCTGAGAAGCAGAGTAAAAGTATCAGACAGACTCCCTAGCAGTATGAATCAAGTCTGCCATTTAAGAGCACATGCCAAAGGCTTTTTTTTTTTTTTTTTTTACATCCAAGTTGCTACCTTTAAATTTCAAGCACACACTAAAAAGGAAAATTCCAGTACAGTTTATCATACTCCCTTTTTATACAAAATAATTCCAATTAGAGCTAGCTGGAAACAAGAGTTCCTTTTCATGACTGGTTTCAAGGCTCTCATATTTGGATTCTTTCCCAGAGAGCTCTTGGATAACTAGCTTCTTTCTCCCCTCACTCCTCCATCTCTCCCTTGGGCTCGTCTGCACCCTGAAATGTGGCACAGGGAAAAGGTACTCAAGTCTGCGGAGAACGAAGCCAGCACATCTGGTCAGTTTGCCTCTCAATAAAGTCCAGTGGCAGAAAGGTTAACAAGCTTAAGAGTCTAGAATGACTAGATTTCATCCAGACGTGAGGTCTGACCAGCCAGCTAAAGTATCTGTAACTCACGATTCCCTGCAGTGCTTGTCCTGAGCTGGTGCAACAACAAGGATCTGCCAGTGTAAGTTGTCTTGCCCTCCCCTCTCCATCCACTTTGGAATTGATCGCAAACTCCATCCTGCAGTTGTGAAACTTTCTGAATGAAACTTGAAAGTCAGCTTTTTTTCTTCAATGAGTTTCAGTCTCAAAGAAACAGCAATTTTTGACACGTAATCCTGCATCAAAGAATTGCCAAAACTTGTAGACCAGTTCTGGGAGTGGAAAGCCAGGATTTACCCATACTTACTTATGATAAAAGTTGATGTGTTTGGTATGTACTGGGGTATCTTTGCTTGATATGCATTTTTGGGGTTTTTGTTTTTTGGTTTTTGGGTTTTCTTCTCATATGAAATAGAGATCAAAATGTTCTGCTCACCTGAAGCCTGGACCTCCATGATGTATTGGTGTAAATCTTGTCCTTGCTGGATGACTTCAAAGGTCATGTTGTTCATGGCCAACTTCCGCTCGGTGTGACGCTGCAAACGCTGCTCGGCCAGAGTGAGGTCTTCGGTATTGAAATCGTTCATTTGTCTCAGCAGATCTTCATTCCAGGCATCTAACTCTGCTGTAACCTTCATGGGCAGAAGACAGACACTGTATTCACCCAAGATCAATGAAAAAATCTTACTTTGAAATTGTGTTTTAATCACAAAATTACTTCACATTTTGACTCTGATCCAGAAACCCCCACACCACAGCCTCAGTACACTCTGTATCCTGCCCATTTAATGGTCACGCTCAACATTTTGCCTAGGTAAGGATCCATGGAAAGATTATCAGTCCAACAAGAAACCTGACACCTTCTTTTTCTCTTACACATTCCAAAGGGCGCTGTAAGAGAAGACCCACTGTATTCACATGGATGGTAGAGATAATGTTTCTGAATAAATTCAAATTTCAATGAAGAAGTAAAGCTTACAGAACTGCAAAAGAATTTGTAACACCTATGACCACATAATCCCCAAATGGCCTGAATGCTTCTAAAAACATTTTGCAACACACTGTATGTTACCTATTACAGATAGAAATATTATTTATTCTATCTTCGTAGAAGAGAAATTACAAGCTCCTTCCATTAAGTCCCCAAACAGGAATAACTAATACATTTTCAGAATTATTATTATTGATTTAATGTATTGTGAACAGTAGATACCCATTGTTCACAGAAAATGCATCATAAGACTAAATATTTTATTATGAATCTGTGAGGTAACCCCCACAGCACTGACTGCAGATGTGCAATGAGTCCTATGCTGTGCTTTCAGGGACTTACAGTCTTTTATAAGGTACTTTCTGTTACCTTCAGTGGACTTGCAAATAGTCCACGTATAACTTTTCTCTCCTGTGGATCTGAAAGCTTTCACACTGAGGAATGAATATAAATAATTCACTTTTACAGATGGGGAAAGCACAGCACAGAAACATCATGCTCAAGGGCTAGGTAAATCACCAGTAGAATCACGAATTGTAGCTGGCTCTAACCAAAGACCTATATAACCTGCCAATAACTCATGGGAACATGCAAAATGTTCTGTTGCTTTCCTTGCTTCCTGATTATAACACACAGTCTGATGATTTCAGCAGTCCATTTATGTATCTTCTGCATTTTACATTTTAGCCCACAAGTAGCCAACTGGTATCAGAGTCCTTCTGTGGTTTTGCCTGTTCAATTAAAGCAAGATCTAGCCTCACCCAAATAGCACAGTCTCACCTCAACCTAGAGTCTCCTACTACAGACAAAAAAGAGGGAACGTGATAGTTAGTGACAATGATTGAGGGAGGGGGGACAAGGGAAATGGCAATTAAATCATGGATATGGGCTAGTACTGTGCAGAATACAATTTTTTCAAGTAATTCAAAATTATTATATAAATGTCTTAATTCTGATTTTTAGGTCAACTCCTCAGGAGAGCTAAAACTAGGTATCTAAAGTCACACTTGTGCACCATATGATGTCATGAAAAGTTCTCTGTTTCTCACTAAAAGTGCTCTTCAGTGCCTGTGTGCAGTGAGATGCCTAACTTCCCAAGTAGCCAAAATTAAAAATTTTCCATTCAGTTTTCTTTCCAGAAAGCATACATTATATCCAACGCAGGCACAGGAAGGCAACCCAAATGGACTGGCTCTCAGCTCTTCTTTCATTAGCATGGATGGGAGTACATGGTTTTGTATTAGAAGGGAAGACATAGGCAGGTTTTAGGCTCTTTTTTGAGAGAAGCAGAAAAGCAGATTTACTCAACCAAGAACCTGGGACCTCAGCTGCAGAGCGTGGACATCCTGAGGGGCTTCTATTTTTCTGCAGCTTGTTCCATTGCCCATTCCACTCAATTACCTTTAAATAATTGCTATCTCTACAGTCTTTTTGGCCCCACTCCCGATTCCAGCAGCTTCTGATTCATTCACACGTCATAGCTGGAGTCCCTGGACTGTGGAGACTTATTGGCAGATTTAACAGTTATGGAGAAATGGTCAAAGTAGATGCTGGAGAAGGGGTTTACTAGATACATTTACAGTACGAGACAGATCCTCAGCTAAGAGTAATCAGAACTGAGGTGGTCTTGACCTTGTTTCAAAATACAAACAATAGAATGAATTTAGAGTAAATGCAGGTTCCTACTGTCATGACAGTAACACTCAAAATTCAATGTAAAGCTTTTTTTGCTCATAGAAGTTAACGGAAAGGCATGTGATATAAGTGAATCAGAGGAATTTTATTCTTTATGAGCTATTAAAAATATTGTCTGTTTGAATTCATTGCATTGATTGTCAGGCTGCTAAAACATAATCATTTGAAATTATGCAAGGGTTCACAAAGTACTTCCCAATTTCCTCTGAACATTCCCATGCATGTGCACTCAGGAAGATGTCTAAAAGCATTTATAAATGACAGTAATAGAAAAGTTTAAAACAATTGAAAAATGTGTTGCATCAGTTTGCTCTTGTAGTCATGACAAGGGGATTCTAATCAGAACAAAATCTCTCCATCCCATTTATGTCTGTGGACATCATCTCCAGGACAGGAAAATACAAATCCTTTGGAGGGTTGAACTCTCAGGGGAGTTGAAGATGGACATGTGAAGGAATCAACAGGTGCTCCCACAAGTATGCTGAGATCCAGTACTTCTACAGAACTGCCTGGGTAAACCTCTCTGCTGTGCTGCTGTTTCTCTTCGTAACCTTTTCACTTGGCTGGGGAAAGGGCACTGAGCAGCATTACTTTTATTGTTAAATATACAATAATTTCCACACAAGCACAGCAAAAAGGCTGTTCCTGACTGTACTGCTTTTTGCCCCATAGGCCTGAGTGTCCAAGACAGGTCTTCAGCAGAGAGGCATCTACAAACACTCAAGAAAAGGATTACCTCCCCAGGCAACCAGTGCTCCTGACACTCACGTTGGCAGCCAGCCTTCACGAGGCTCCCCACACAGGAGGAGCTGCACCTAAATATATACCTGTCCTATTAGCTGTTGCGAGGCATTGAAGGGTTTACGCTCCATTATTCACACTCCGCAGTTCAAATCAGTGGTTTAAATTAAAGAGGAAAGGATGGTACAGGCAGTCAGGACCCAAGCTGATAAACAACGTGGGATGCAAGGCTGGCTCGTGGTGCTCCACATCATATCACCAGGACCAGGAACAGGCGCTGAGACTACACCTGAGTGGCTCTGGACAGTCAGACAGGTCCAGTGGAGCTTGTTAGCCCAGTGCCATCTCTGCCAAGGCCAGGAGCACAGCCACCAATGGAGGGGAGAAGGAAGGCAGGCAGGCAGGAAGTTGCTTCTGAGTGGGGGCTGATGAAGGAGTGATAATCATCCCATGTGCTGGGTGAGGGGAACAGAGGAAGGAGTCAGACACAGCGAGAGGTGGAACATCACAAAATTTCTCAGGCAAAGTGCGTACAGGAAGGTTGGGTACATTGCGCTGAGTAACTGAGACAAACAGATGGCTAGAAGAGAATCTAAAGCACATGAAGGCAAAGAAGCAATAGAGAGCTGTGAGAACAACCCAGGTTTCCTGAATCCCAATCTGGTGCCCCATCCCAGAGACCATTCTGCCTTGCATATCTCATTAAGACATTTCCTCTTCTGTCTGTACAGCCAATGCCTCAAAATCTCAGCATTTTTTGTACTTCAAACTGGACTGTTTGGAAATGGTCCCAGAGTCTGAATTTGAATCCCTAACTAGTTTGACTTGGGTACAGGGAAAATGATTTATTTTTCTTCAGGAAGAGGCTGTAATTAGGCAGCTCTGTTAACTGCAGTTGTATATTTTTCAAGTCTAAAAAAGAACCTTGGATGCTTTCACAGATTGGGTCAGGCTTTGACACGTATGGTGAAACTTGGACTGCATCAGACTAAAGCGTTCGATCTCCTAAGGTGTGGTAAGAGCCAATTGCACTGGGCCTGTGTCAGGAATTGTCTCATAAATGAGGCTCACTTGGCCATGAACTTGTTTAATTCCCTTTTGACTCAAAAGAATGGCTGATTAGAATTTACTCTGTTCATCTGCTAGATTTTTGGTGGGAAGAACTGACAGCACTTCTTATGTTTATTCACTTTACTTCCCAGTGTTTGTGATTCTAAACAGACCTTAGCATCCCTCATGCGCCCTGAAAGAAGAGAAACCCTGCCAGAAGGGAAGCCCCAAACTCTGCTCTGTTCTGCTGTGGCACAAGAGAGAAATCATACCAAAGCAGAAGGGTCAAGAGAGCAGCAACAGTGGCAGTGCACAGGTCTGCATCAGCAAAAGCAGCAGACCTATCCTCAGGTGCCCACACTGTTCAAAGAAAAGCTGCACACATGCCTTTGTGGAAGGAGCTACACTCCTTCCTTGCAGGTCAGATAAGGTTGGTGGCCAAGAAACAGCTCCATGTTACTAAAGGAAGGTACAGTGACCCCAGAGTACAAATGGGAAAGACATGAAAAAGCTATTGATTGACAATGAGCCTAGACAGGACGTTTCTTCATTCTTCACCCGAAACAGATTCTCCTGCAGCCATGATAACAGGGAAACTAATGCTGGTAGTGAACCTAATCTAGATTAAAAGAGCTACCTGAGATATCCTTACCAGAGCAGCAGAGGCAGCACAAGAGTTCACTTCAGCACGTGAGCAAATACAGGGTTTGTGCTGAGCTCCGTGGTACTATCACAAGGCTCTAACAGATATACAGACTATGTCAGCCAGGTCTGCGTTTCATGCAGACAGTCTAGACCACAGTCTAGACCACATACTCTTTAAGCAGGCATCCTCCTAAAGCAGCAACTTAATATACCCAAATTCCCACTCCTGCAATACTGCTGTATTTGACGCTTCCTGGATTTATCATGTTGCAACACCAGCAGATAACATGACTGAAGGGAGAGAGACATGTTCATCTTCAGTCCTGGAGAAAGAGGAGAGGTATAAAGAGGCACACACTTGAAAAGTAATAGCAGTAGTAGTAACAACAGTAGCAGTCCAGCCATCTCATGCCTACACTGCAGCCTGCTTGTGAATTAGGCCAAAGAGCCTACCCAAGCCGCAGCAGCTGCTGTGCAGGCAATTGTACGTCGCCATAATTTCATATCTAA